GAATCAAATCGATTCTAGAAATCGGTGACGATACCCAGCCCTAGTTACTGGTTCTGTTCTGTGAGCTAACTTAAACTAATTTATGTCAGTTTTTCAGAGCAGAGCTCCATGGTGTAAATTAGCCTTCATACATGTAATGTTTCTTTTCCACTTTAAGATGATCTAAGAATAAAGGGCTTTGTTTAAAAAAGAAGAGTATTCCTTCAGTAATTATTCAAATTCCAAAAATAGCAGACCTACACTAAGACAAAAGAAATGTGCAGCTGTTCACATATCTGTAAGTAAAATGCTGTAACTTTTCTGGAGAATTAGCAACATAAAAATGAAAAATGCAGCTTAGTTATTGTTTTTTTCTGTTGATGAATGTGATGTTTTGTTATTTCTCAGACCTCGGCCAAACCTTACAGAGGGCAGCAGTCGGGACTGGACTCGCCCAGTAGTTCTCAAACAGTCTAATGATGCAATGGAACAAGAAGAAGAGGGTCACTGGTTAAAAGATGTTATAAAGATTGGTAAGAATCTTGATTTTATATTGTTTCTTTAAAAAAACCTCATAAATATTATTATTGTTATCATGAGTGCAGATAGTAGAAAAAATTGTCTTTGTATGGTAATAGAATTTGTAATTTAAAGAAAAGAGCTGTCCACAAAAGAGGAGCATGACATGTACCCAAAGCTGCAAAATGGAAGTCAAGGGACAGTATTCAACCAGCAAATACTGCAAACAGAGAAAAAGTCTAAAGCTAGTTTAACAAAACTGCTCTGGTGCGTCACAGTGGGCTCGTCACAGCAACACAGGCAGAGTAGATGATAAATGCTCTGGGACTTCAGGCCTGCCTGGTGGAATACAGTCTGGCAGTGCAGCTGAAGGGAAGCCTGGCAGAGCAGGTGTAAAGGTGACTTCAGGTGTGACTGGCCAGACAGGATCAGAGAGGTGCAGCCTGCTGGAGGCAGTGAGCAGCTACACTGCTACATGCACAGAGGATGCCACTGTGAGACCATCACTGCATGTGTCGACGAGAAACCCTGGATTACCAGTGAGGTGCGCTCACTGCTGACAGCCCGAGATGCAGCTTTAAGTGCAGGGGATGAGACTGCGAAACGCACCTTTGCAGAGAGAGTCCAGGGACACCTCTGTGAGACAGGAAACATCAGCATAGTGCTGTGAGCAAAGAAAACAGTTGTATCCTGTCTGAATGATACCATCC